ATCATTCCTGAAGATTCTAAAAATAAACCAACGGCCTCCTCTCGGCCTTCTAAACAAACAGCCCCACTGATGGTGGCGTTAACCTCAGGCTGATGAAAGGAACAAATGGAAGCGATGACAGGATTATGTTGCTCTATTAATATGACAGATTCTAATTTGTGGGAAGAAAGGAGCCTCATTCAGTGCTTTATTACTTTCAGAAATTCTAAAATCAATGCAAGATATGCCATAAGCATCATTCTTGGCAGGCAGTCGTTGAGGTGAGCATATAACTCAAGGATAGCTTGAACTGAATTCTGACCAATTTAGCAAGTAATAAGCAAGGCAGTCTGTGATAAGAACATTAAAAAGAAGAGACAGTAACAGAGTTAGGAACAGATGGCATCCATAAATAATGTTGAAATAATAATAATATTTTAAATTTATATATGATGCCTTTCAGTCTGGAAAATCCCACAGTGCTTTACAAAGCTGAATTTAAAACACAAACTTAAACTGGAATGCACAATCTCTGGTGTGAAATATGACAGTTGTTGAGAGCCCAAGCAATGCCAAGTCATTTGGGACAAGAGAATAAGAATTTTAGTTCACTGCTGTTGCAGTAAGAACTTGAATTGAATTTTATTTCTTTTCCTCTCTTTTAATCTATTCAATCTACCATCACTGGTAGCATCTGGATATTCTACTGTAATACATCCCTATTATCTAGAAAACCCACTCTCTTTACTGTTAATGATGTAAGATAGACTGCTGATTTTATTTATTGAAAGCTCTAAATGATCAGCAATTTGGCTTTCTCCAGTGCAAAAAAAAAAAAAAAAAAAAATTACATTCTCAGCAAAAATATCTCCCAAGGCCAAATTGCCACAGTAGTTTGTGTGTCCTCGTGTGGGGAATATTAACTCCCATGTCAGTGTAAACTCTGAAAGCCTTGTCTTCCCCTGCAGAACATAATTGCTCTTTCCAAACACTTATGTGGCTCAGCCCAACCTGAGGCTGCCTTCTGATCTCAGATAAACCCAGGCAATCCTTCTGGCTTTAGTGGGATTATGCCAACATAAGTGAAACTAAAATTTCCCCCACACCATGTGAGGGTTGAGAGGTGCAGGAGGCACCGTGTGACGTTTGAAGGCTGCAGTGGAAAAGTGCAGGAGGATGAGAGGGAAAAGCCATGCACTGTGTGCACAGAGCAGTGGAAACTATTTAAAGCAGCTTCAGCCTCAAATGTTCTGTGCAGTCCCTTCACAGGGACAGGGAGAAAGATGTTACATGATAGCCTGGATATTTGGGTGATTAGACTCTGTGTTGTAGGAACAATATAAACCAGAAAATATTGAATTCTTCTGAGTGGTGAATGGCACAATCTGTTTGCAGGAGTGTTGAAAACAAATCAGGAAGTGGTGCTGGTTGAAATTAATTATCTTCAATATTTTCCCATTCAGGTCTGTAGGAGTCACAGCCAGTGTTTTGCCATTCCAAGCTCACGTTTTCAATAGTGGCACCTGCAAGGACTTTTTATGCCAGCTGAGCTTTACATCAGGCTTGTGGTAACTGCCCTGGAAACAGCAGAATGACTGCAGGGTACTGGATACCCTGGAATTACAGGAACATTCCTTGCAAATGGGTTGTTCCCTTGGAAAAACAGAAAATGTTTGGTGACAGGGCCTTTTCTGAAGGGAACTTTCTAACCCTCCAGTAAGAGGAAGTTGAAAGGACAGTGGATGGAGTGTTGCTGTACTCTCAGGACCATTTGTTCAAATATACTGGGTAAAATCCATTGTCCTATAAATTAACAGAACTCCTGCTGGTTCCACTGGATCCAGGTTCACTTCTAGTGTTTTTCAGATAAACAATGTGTTTTTTTGGATGGAAAGGAAGAAGAGGAATATATAAATTACATCATCACACACACGGCAAATCTTAGCATAGGTATGGCTTCAGAATATGGGTACTGAATAGTTGTCTCAAACATCAGAGAAAATAGGGTTTTGTTGTTTATTTTGTGTAAGTAACATGTTGAAAAACCCAGTCCTAATCCAGCCTGGATCTGCTTTTCAGGAAGTACAAGTCTTTGGTTTAACTATGGCAATTTGTGTGGGACTTCTTGAGCTGTCAGCTTAGGTGACAAACTGTAACTCATCAAATTCTTGTTCATATCAGCAGGATGTGTGTATAAGCATCACATGCTTACAAGCATGGACTCACTGGTGGTATCTGAGACTCTTGCAATATTTAAAAGGTGCCTTAGTTTTTTTGTGAGACATTGGGCAGTCTCATGTTCTTTTGTTTCCATTTACCTCTTGGGATTTTACGACACAGCGCCTGAATTTCCTGATTTCATTTTTTGCAGTTGCCAATCTGCAATGCCCCAGACTTTACCTGCAAGTTTAAATTGAAGTTTATTATTCAATTAAATGCACCAGAATTTACTTGCAAGTTTAAAGTTTATACTTCAAGAGCACAGGATTGAGCACATCAGGCTTGGCACAACTGCCAGGGCTTCGTGTTGCCATTTCATATGGCATTGGAGTCGATGCCTGGAAGTTGTTACCAACAGGAGCTCTCCATGTAGGCTCTGTACAGCGATCCTGGTGACCTCAGACTGCCTCCTGATGGGCACAAGTCCACAGTTAAAGACTGTCACTGCAGCTGACACCCTTATCATGGTCTGCATGGAGAGCCTGAGTTTGGAGCAGACACAGAGATACAACACATCTCCACACACCGGCACAGAGACAGGGAGCTGGCACCTTGCAGCCTGCTCCCAGATTCCTCAGGCTTGAGAAAACACCCTCCTGTCCTTCAGGGAGTTGGTTTGGGTTCAGAAATAGGGAAGCTGCTTTGATGTGGAGCTGTGTCTCTGCTGACATAGCTGTGCTGTGCTGGGGAGATGCACCACGTCAGGTTGGCCCTGCGTGCCAGATTCCATCAACTGCACGGAGTCCCGTGGGGATTCTGACTTCTTTGAAATGTTTTGGGGTTGTTTTTTGTCTTTTCACCTGAGCTGAGGCACAAGGAAGAGATAAAAGTGTTTAGCTTATTTGTGCTGCTGTCTCTGCTCTACCTTTCAGGCCTGTCAGTGTGGTGAGGTACTCGAATGCTAAATTGGTATGAAAACACAGACCCTCAAAACTTCCACTTTAAATTCATTTTAGTCCAGCTTATAAGAAATGGGTCATTCAGTGGTCTATTTTCTGAGTATTGTGTCAGTTGTGTTCTGTCCCCAGCCCTTATCTTTGCCATACAGACTTCCAGTTTTTAGGCAACTGGTTTGCAGGTTAGACTGCAGGTCCCTAAAAATTTCTGGGGTGTTTTAAAACCTCAGCACCAGCTGAAATTAAGAAAAAAGGTCTGAACACGAAACGTACACTGCTGCTAACGACCACTTTATGTAAATTCCTTTGGGATGATCTCTTTTCTTTCTTCTGGAGGGTGACATTTGTTCTCCCAGTCTGTGGTGAGCCCACAGTGAGCTGGCTGACCACAGTAACTGCTGCCCCTCGCTCTGCTCGCTGCAGATTAGAGCACGGGGGATCTCTGGCTTCTCTCTCTTTTTTTCTCCATCTTTTTTCCTCTGTCTTACTTGCAGAACAACTGAAAAAGGACAAGGTTGAGATATTTCCTGAATGTTGCATTGTGCCTTGCCCTGCATGGTGCACAGAGGAGGTGGGGAGAGAGGATGAAAAGTGCTGTTGGACTGACTTGACTCTTGTGTCACACAACTGCTCTGAAAACAGAGACTGGGGCTTCAAAACAGGTTGCAAGAGGCAGGGCTTCCTTTCAACCTTTCCTGCACCAGCCTGCAGAATACTCACTGCTCCCTATGATTTCTGTTTCTGTCTAGGAAAGTGCCTTTTTTTTTTTTTTTTTTTTTTTACAGTAAGAAAAGCGTTCTATAAATATTCTGTATTTATTATTGTGGTGGAGCTTATTCAGTATGCCTGAACTTAGATCAATAAAATGAGAAGAAGGAGGAAAAATGCCCAAAGATAAAAGAAACCCAGAGAGCTGTGTGTTCCAGAATAAACACAGCACTCCTTGACGTGGTACAGGCACTGTTTGTGCCTGGCTTCCCAACAGGGGTTCTTGCACATCCAGTAACTTTGTTTGTGTTTTGTAAATTAGCAGATGGCTCTTTGATACAAAGGAGAACGTGTTCCCACATCAGATCGAGTATCCCTCTTTCTCTCTTTCCCCTCCTCTGATATTAAACAAATCATAGAGGAAGACTCAACTACAATTGCTAAAAGTAAGGGAGAGATGGAGCCAAGCAAAAATATGTGTAAGTGAACAGTAAAGTTCAATTGATAGCGACTGCAGTGAAGCAAATATAACTGAGCAGGAGATATTCTTATTTCCATAATTTCTGAGCTGTGCTCCAGGGACCCAGGGTACAGCCAGGTCACTTTGTGTGACCCTCTTCACCGTTTCCTTTCCTGCAGAGGTTGCCGAAATCTCATCAGCTGAGGGAATTACTCAGGGAAGTGTGTCACTTCTGAAGTGGGGGGAATAATTTTGTACCTGTCACATGACCATTTCATAGAATCATTTAGTTTGAAAATAACCTTTAAGATCATCAAGTCCAACTGTTATCCCACCCCTAACCCACGTCCCCACGTGCCACATCCACATGTCTTTTAAATACCTCTAGGAATGGTGACTCGGTCACTCCACTGGGCAGCCTGGGCCAGTGCTTGACAACCCTTTTAGGGAAGGAATTTTCCATAATATCCAACCTAACCTGAGGTCATTTCCCCTTGTCCTGTCACTTGTTACTGGGGAGCAGAGCCTGACCCCTACCTGGCCACAGCCTCCTGTTGGGAGGTTGTGGAGAGTGATAACATCACCCCTGAGCCTTCTTTTCTCCAGGCTAAACATCCCCAGCTAAACATCCTCATCTACTCCTTGTCAGACTTGTTCTCCAGCCCCTTCCCCAGCTCCCTTGCCCTTCTCTGGACAGGCTCCAGCCCCTCAGTGCCAGGGTGGAGCCTGCGTCTCACCTGGTGATGTCTGTAAGGCAGAGGGCCTGTTTGCCAGAAGCTGGGCTTGATCTTGGCTGGAGCTTCAAGGCAGTAATTTCAGTAATGTAACAGCAATTAAATGAGACACTTACAGACTAGGTCTGGCTGGAGCATATTCCACGTTGCTCAAAACCCTCTCTTTTTAATTGCTCATCTGAAATTTCTTCGGAAATATTATTGCTGCATTAGTCAACTCGCTGCTTGTTTACTTGAAACCTTGCCTATACAGATAGTGTGATGATAAACTATCATGGGCTTCTTTCTGGTTGCTGAGTGTAAACAAAATATATAAGAGAAATGAGTGTTCTTTAGGGCTGGCCTTCACTTTTTGACCTGTTTGTACAAGACCTGGCAGTACTGGCTCCTAGTCCATGATTGAACCGTGCAGGCACAACGGTGCTGCAAATAAATAAACAGCTACCCTGAAGATAAAAGTCTATTTACTTGCACTTTTTCCCTACAGGTCTTTGCACCAGAAGTCTCAAGTGAAAAAGTACTTCCTCTCCTATTCCCAGTGCCTTCTGCATCCATGTCTGGCTCTACTGACAGTGGAGGATTTATCATTAGCCCTAGTAGGAGTAATGAATCCAATAGCTGTAATGCTTTAGAACAAAAGGGCTTTCTCCCTCTGAAGCTTTGCCTGACATGTAGCTTGTGTCCAAAGGTGGAACAAAGTATGGCTTCTTTTCCCTCGAAAAAGAGGCAACTGGGTAGCAGTTAAAGGGAAAATTGGCCAAAATACTTATGCAAAGACTCAAAGAGTAGGATAAAACCATCCCAAGGTGGATTTAATGCTCATTAACAACAAGTAATACTCTAAGCAGAGGAATAAGAAATTAAGAGAAAAATTTGCATTATATATAGGAAAAATATGTACCATGGAAAAATGCATCTCCAATATTAAACATGGGCACAAGCCCAGTCCTTCTTATTTTACAGTCACTGAGAGTGGCTCCATTGACTTCCAGAGGGCTTGAATGAGATTCAGCTCCAGATCTGGCTTTGTTAACTCATGAATACTCCTCTTGAAATTAATAGTACTTCTTAAGCAAGCAAAGTTAGACAGATTTTTGGTCGTAGAACTCTTGCCCTCGGTACTTCATCATCGATATGATTTGAGGGAGAGAAATGCCTGGTATTGGTGTGTATGAATCTATAGTGATTTGTTCTGTTTCCTAAGGATGGGAGTCTTAGGACATACACAGGGAAATGGCCAAACTATGCAGAGAAGTTTAAGTCTAGTCCCTAAATGTTCCTGATATAATTCCGAGTGTGAAGAGGAGATAAATCATATATTGGATTAGTTTGCTCACTTCCATTGTTTGGGGACTAATCCATTCATGAGCACTCCTTCCTGCTTTGTATTTCTCACCTGAGCATAATTGTGTAGCTGTTTGTAAAGGGTAAATCAGATTGGCAAAATGAGTCTTCACGCTGCAGATCTGTGTGCTGAGCAGTGCTGCTGCCCCAGGAAGGGCACAGAGATTCCATGGGTTTGTTACATTCTTTTTTTGTTTGATGAACATGGAAGACCTTTCCTCTAAATACAGAGTGCTCTGAGTTAAAGCACAGCTTCTGGCTGTTCCTTTGACATGCAACTGCGAAACTCCTTTCCTGCCACACAAAATCATGAATGGTGTGGAATTTGCATTTTTCATGAATATTCATCTAATATTTATAATTATTTTAGTCTTGCTTACATACTCCCCTTGTTTCCTAATACTCAAACCAGCTTTTTAGTAATTAATTTGAATTTTAGCACTAGCGAGTGGCGTCTCCTGCGAAGCCTGTTACAGACATGGCACGTTGTTCTAAATTGCATAATAAATAATCATCCACCACGGTGACACATTCAGCAAAATGGCTCTACCCCTGTTTGACAGGGTGAACGCCTATGTGCCTTTCAAAGCAACTAGTTTAGCACTCTTCATTTACAAAGAGGGAAGGGAGAGGAGAGGGAAATGCTACTCTGAGAACAGCTTGTCTCATGTTGACCTACTTTCTCCACCAATCTGCGAGCAGCCGGAGCTGCTGTTGTGTTGACACTACATATCCAAGCTAAAGCAAACCCAGCAGAATCCGTGGCCTTAGAGATTGGCTCCAGAGAAGACAAAAGGCCTTCTGGGTCTGACGGGGCTTTTGGACGTGCAGGCACTGCAGGGCTGGGACGGGGAGAGCCGATTGTCAAAGCTGACTCTAGTGCCTCCCCTTTCCTGCGAGACCCAAAGCAGATTTTGCTCACTCTGTGTCTAATCTCTGAGGTGCATTTACTGTCCAAAGCAGGTGGTGTTGGTCCAGGGAGGGTCTCCTTATCTGCACGGGAGATGTGATCACAGAACTAAATTTGCTGCTCTTATCAGCATTTTCTCTCCTACCAGGAAAATGAGGAAAATAAAGGAAAAGGGGTGTGCCTATGAGAAATGCAGGGATGCCCGTTTGTCATCCCTGTCTTTTAACCCCTAGAGATTATTTCAGATGGTGCAAATTAGAGTAGCCATACAGCTCCCCTAATCTCCTACAGAGGGGAGAAGTTTTGTACAAAGTCTGCAGACCAGGGAGCCGAAACCTTTTTTTTTGTATCTACGTATCCATGCAGGGGTTAACCTTGTGCTGTTTGGGAACTATTGGATCTGGAGGTTCTATTCGTGGTCTTTGGGGTTTGTTTTTTGCTAGCATTCATTAATTTTTGAGAGGCCATCATTTTTTGATGCTCTGCCCATCTACAACTCCTGCTGCCTGTGGTGGGAGGAGGTGCTGGTACCTGGTTGGGAGTAAAAAAATATGTTGTGTCATATGATCTGCATCACTACGTCAGCTTTATCATTTCAACCAGTGTTTTCACAAAAGCTGATCTGTACTTTACAAAGCTAATACTAGTCCTTTGCCCTCGAGAACCTCATGTCCTTTAATGGAAATGAATACAGTTTTATTCTTAGCAACTTGTTGCAGAAACCTCCAGTAATGTGGCTTTTCACCAAAACGTCTTTTTTATGACTGGTTTTAACTTAAAGCAAGAGCCCCATTAATTCTGAGGAAGTAGACCCTAAAATTTTTGTTTCAAAAACGTGGCAAATCCTGTACACCATTCTGGAGATTTCTTTTTACAAATCCCTTTTTTTTTTTTTTTTTGCATTTCCTCTAAGGAGGGTACTTGTGACAGGACACCAGGAAAGATGTCTTGAGATACATTGATTTATTTGGGTCCTAAAGAAATGAAGTTGACCTCAGTTTAGAATCTCCTTACTACTGGATGAAATGTTACTGGGACTTTCTTGTACCTTTTGCTGGAACCTTGGGGAGAATTACAGCCCAGAGTGGTGGCACCTGAACATAAAGTTCACTAACCTGCCTTGCTCTGTGGCACTCTCAGCCCACTGCATCCTGCCTTTTATGAGCTGGTGTAATCTGCTTTCAAAGTGGATTAAAACAGATACTCAGGATGGATGAAGAGCCCTTGGATAAAGGCACCCTGGAGCAGTTATTACACTGAACTTCTTCCCTGCAGAGATTTGGGTATTTTAAAATTCACTTAGGATAGCGGGTTCCGCTTCTTCCTCAGAACATGCAAGTGGGTGAAAGTTTGACATCTGCCATTCTGCTGAATCTGTGTTTCTGGGGTAGAGTTCTCCTCTCCACCCCATTAAGATTTCTCTGCTGTCGTCGCCTGTTGCTAAATGTTTCTTGGCTCCCCGAATTTGCTCTCTGATAAGCCATGTTGGCCGCTGGAGCAGGAAGCTTTGTGGGCAGTTTTCACTGGCATCTCCCTGGTTTTGAGAAGCTGGGGCTCAAGGTTTTGGGTTTGCATGACTGACTTGTAGTGCTGAACTTCAGCACTGAGAACTCATAGACAAGAACTGCTGTCATTGTACCCCTCAAAAACTTTTTTTTGAACTGTCTGATCATGTTGTTTGGTAAATTGTTTGGCATAATGACTGTGTCGCATGATTTCAATTTGGCAACAGCAGCTCAAGCTACAATTCTTTTTGTGAGGTGACTTTCCCACTGATATCTGCTAGGAGTTAGGTAAAGTCAGAGGGAAGGCACTGGAAAGAAAGTGAGGATGAAATTGTAGGTGGATCAAGTGAGTTTAGAGATCAGAGAGAAGCACAGCAGGATAGATTGGTTCCCTAAACCTGCTGTTTCTTTCGTCTGTGCTATTTCTTAATATTTCTCATGAATTTACATTATTTTTTTTTCAAGTTTAGGATATTTAAGGAACTCTTGTAAACTCTCCTACCTTTCATTTCTCCTCGTTCGGTGATATCTGAGCTTGAGGAGCCAGGACCATGTCCAGGCTCTCCATGGTGAGACCAGAGCTGGGTGTGTGCATCTCTACCTTCCTTACCTTGACATCTGGGGAAACCCAGAGCTGAAAAAGAGTTTCAGTCTAATCCAGCCAAATCCACCCCAAATCTGGTCTGAGGGATCTGACTGTCAGGACTGTACTGCTCTACAGAGTGCAGGTGTAGCCTGCAAAAAGCTGAGGTGAGGTGCTTAGTCACAGACTCACAGAATATGCTGAGATGGAAGGAACCCACAAGGATCACTGAGTCCAGCTTAGTCCTCCTGCTTCAGTTTACTGTGCTGTGCCAGTGGTCATACCCCTCACTGACTGGCACAAGGATCAATTCCTTAACATCTGAAAAGGGATTTGAAAACCTAAAGCAATAATTTTACAATTCTGCTTAATCAGCACTGTGCATTTAGTGTTTATGCAATTATGTGAATGTTCATTGACAAACTGAGGACATGTTTTAAATCTCCATTAGAAGAGCCAGTAAATATAAAGTGTCTGTTCGTCTGGGTGTGGTTTATGATCCTGTACCAGTGGTGTTCTACCTTGTCTTTTATGGATGTGAACTGTAAGGTTGTGATGCTTTAATGACTCCTCAATCAGCAGAGCTTACAGCCCAGTTCTTTCCCAGCATTAGGGGTTTGATGTGATTGTGGTGGGTTCACTTCTGCTGAAAGCACAATCAATGCCTTGTATTTTTGACACTACGAAGATAAAGAAGTGCATTACATTTTCCAGCAGGAGTAGCCCAAACAGACCTTTCTAGCTGTTTACCATGAATAGACACTCAAGTGTATCCTCTAGTTCCCTTGGGAGGTTAATTTTTAAAACTTACATCATTGGAAACCAAAACTGAGTTA